GGGTGGTTGCAGACCTTCCGCAGCTGCATGAACACGTTGTTGAGCCCCTTCCCCGAAGTCATGCCGATACCCTACACATGCGTGCAAAAACGATCGAGCCAATTTGTCGGCGTTGACGATGTCCATGTGACCCCCCCCCCCCCCCACACCGCAACCACAAATGGAAATCTGCAGGACCGGGCCCACCGTATCGGACAGAAGCACGAGGTACGGGTATTCCGCCTGGTGACTGACAGTCCCGTGGAAGAGCGGATCATCTCCAGGGCCACGGACAAGCTCAACATGACCGGACTTGTCGTTGAAGCGGGCAAGTTTAACCGTGACTCCAAGGCGGCCGAGAGAAAGTGAGTCTTTTTTTTTTTTTTTAATCCGAAACCAGAAGCGAGATATTGGTTTCACGGGACCCCCCCCCTATTCGCGCGGCATGATTCGCCTCACGTTTCTGCGCTTCGAGTTGTGCCTGTCATTTGCCCACTCTTTTCATGTCCTGTCACGGCATGTCACGCCAGAGCTGTCACATATCAAGGCGATACGGAGAACACCCGTTTTGAGAGGATGGCGACTAACAAATGAACTTTTCTCCTCGCTGCTTGCCTACCCCCCCGCCCCCCCTGCGTTTGCTCCCTTCTTCATTGTTTGTCACGTCTCTGGACATGTGATGTCCGCCGTCGCTGATTTTTTTTTTTCAATTCCTGTGTCGTGTCGTGTGGCGTCAGAGCGATGCTCGAAACGCTCCTCCGAGAGATGGACAACAATGACGAGGGCACCGCGATGGACGACAACGGGGACACGGTCGTGCACGACAACGAACAGGCACGGAAAAAGAAACGAGAAATTTCGGCGAATGAAAGACCGGAAGGAAATTAATTGACGCAACAAAATATAAAAAAAAGAAGCGAAACATGACAACAAGTTGAGTAGACTGAAACACAACAGAAAAAATATGACGACAAATATCAGTAGATTCGAAGAGAACATATACACTTCAGTACATGACAACAAATATTAGGAGATAGGGCGATCGAACTTAGTTGTAAATACACCACACGAGGAAATTTCGCGACATGTACATGTCTCGTGCGGGGAGGGTTGTACAGCCGGGGTGCGTGAAAAAATTGTGGTGTTGAGAACTGAATCATGTGCCGCTCTCGAGAGGTACCCCGTGCGCGAGTCTTTCGTGTGTGACGGGGTTCTTTTTGGTTTGTCGTTCTGACATCTTTTGAGTGCCACCTCACCCTTCCAAGTTCACGAAATAATGTTGGCGTACGAAGTTGCTCGGTTTACCGGTCGTCAAACGATTGCCAGTGATGATATGATCCAGTAGATGAACCCCTCAATACGATAGCTGAACTATCAGTGGCTGGTCTAGTCGGCGTAATTGGCAGGTACCAAGACGAGCTTGCTTGTTCGGAGAGGGACAAAACAAGTCCACTGGCAAGCACGCCGGCGAAAGAATCTGACACGAAGGACAACAACGCCCGCGACTATTTAATTGTTTGTCAGATCAACGAGCTCATGGCCACGACAGCGGACGAGCTGGAGCAGTACCAGCAGATCGACAGGGAGAGGCTGGTCACGGAGGCCGAGATGGCGCGGGAGAAGGGGTTGAGGAGATGGAACAGGCTCATGCCGGCGGACGAGGTGACTTAAAAATATTGCTACAACGGTTAGGGTATGTATGGTGGAGGGTTTGTTCTGCGGGCCCGCCCGGTAGCGCCTCTTTTTTTGTGTTGAGGTGGGACCTTAGGGAAGTCATGTTTGCGCAGGTAGCAAGTGGGAGGACTAGATACGTGGTGTAGAGGCCGATAGGGTACGTGGACAGGCACCATGGCGGTATTGAACAGATGGGCGGGACAACTAAACTCATGCGAAACGCGGACTGGAAGAAACCGCCCAAGTCTCACCTACTCTGTATCCCTCCCCGCCCACGCACGGCACCCAGGCTCCTGCCTGGCTGGCACCTGGAGCCGCCGCCGCCGCCATTGCCAAGGCCGGAGGGCGTGGCGCTGCCGCCGCTGCCGCTGCCGCGGCCAGTGAGGCGTCGGGGACGGGGGTGGGGACGGCGGCGGGGGCCGCCGGAGGGGAGTGGGGCGGTGGCGACGGGCCTGTGGCGAGCCGTGGGTCGAGGAGGAAGCGGGCGGCGGTGGACTACTGGGACGGGTTGACAGATCAGCAGGTAGGTTTGGGTTTGGGTTTGGTTTTGGCTGATGATCAAAGGGTTCCAAATAGTGATGGTTGGAACACAAAAGCGCATTGAACCCCCCCCCCCCACCTCCCCCCTCGGCCTTGTTTGCCATCGGGGTTTGGGTTTTCGTCGCTTGGCAAGGACGTTGTAAAACAAGCCGCCCCCCCCCGGTGTTTGCCATCGGGGTTTGGGTTTTCGTCGCTTGGCAACGACGTTGTAAAACAAGCCCCCCACTCGGTGTTTGCCATCGGGATCGGGTTTTCGTCGCTTGGCAACGACGTTGTAAAAGAAGCCAATTCACTTCGTGAACTCGGCAACCAGGTTACCGTTTTTTTTTTTACCTCGGTTTTTTTTTTTGGCGGTAACCAAAATGGTGGTCGAGTAGATCATGTTGTGCGGGGTCGAGAACCCTCACTCCGCGCAACGGGGGATGATCGCACCACGTTGTGTTAAAATGGTCAAGCTTCCTCGAGGCAGTTACACAGTGCTTACAACTGTCTGTGGAAGTGAAAGCACCAGAAAATAAACTAAGTCATACGTAGCTGTCATCCGTACGCAAGGAAGTAAGCACAAGATGCCGAACACCCTTAGCAGGATGCAGCTCACCCTTCATGCGACTCGCCAAATACCTCACGGCGCTTCGCGCTTGGTGATGTGAGAGCCTGGTCCGGTGAGAACCCGGCGTGCTCCGTCCCGGCTTTGTAGGGATGCGAGGTCAATGGTCTTACGACTACGGCATGCACGACTATGAGTACACCCCCCCCCCCCCCCTGGGGGAACTGGGGTGCTCTGTCCTCTCCCGGCCGCGTGGGCCATGGGCTAACAGCTAGGGGCATTCGAAACTTGAGTACGTCCCCCTTACTGCATTGCGATTGTTTCGAACACAACGCGCGTCGACCCCCCCCCTCTCGAGGACGCGCGGTCGACGTTTCTAATCGCTAAGGCATACAAAACATGAGCACCCCCCCCCCCCCCCCGGGAGGAAGTAATGATGGTGGTGGCTTACTGGGAAGGCAGGGGGTCCGGTGGCCTAT